GCATCTGCATTTTACAAGCACCTCCAGAGATTCCTGAGGGCACTTGAGATGAGAACTCCTGAGGTGTGCTGTGTGCTGCAGGGGCCCCACCCCTGCCTTGTTTGGCTGTAACCCCTGTGACCCACAGACGACACTGTGGTGGATTCAACAAGACCTGGAGGAGCCCTCAGAGAGGGGACAGGAACAGTCACATAGGACCATCTAAGCCACTGGCCATGGTCCTGTCCCCTCCCGGCATGCCATGTGGCTTCAGGACCCCTGTGATACTGAATTGTCCTCCTCTGTGGGCGCTCTGTCTTGTAACGGATGGTGTTTCTCTCTTGCCTTGGGCCCAGAGCCTAATTTGTGGCCATGTGAACAGGCTCTTATGATAAGAATTTAGATGGTGCTTTGGCTTTATTACTTCTTTCTCTTCATCCTACTTTCTGCAAATATTGATTGGATTCTGCTGTATTTTGTATCTTTGTATCTTCCTCAAATTTGTTTGCACTCATCCCATTTTGTAGTTATATATTTATTTGTGTGATTGCTGATTACATTTTCTGTAGAAGGTCAGCCTCATTCACTTATATAACTCTAGCACCAGCACAGGGCCCGGCACATAGGTGGACCCAATCAATATTTTCTCTAAAGAATGAACGAATGCACCAGTCAAGGTGTTAGAAAAAGAAAGACATCCTCTTTGCATCTTTGAGTCTCAGTTTTATCATCTAAAAGATAGAGATAATCTATGTGGTAGCAGCTTTATTTGATATTGTGAAAATCAAATTAAATTTATGAGCCTGCTGGTAAACCCTGAAGGCTGGGAAGACACTGCTGAGGCCACTATAGAGCGCCTTGTTTTCATCAGGGGTGGTCAACCGGACTCCTTGCAAAATGAAATGGAAAGGAGACAAGAAGTCTCTGGGGCTAGCTCAGTAGAAAATGCCCAGGAATGCTTCATCAGGTTAAAAAAGGGAAGTTAGTCCTACCTGTTGGGAAGGTGATTGAAGACTTGTAACCTATCAGACCTGCCATCTAGACTCTCCCATTTACTGAGCTATCTCTAACACTGCCAATTCTGCAGTGCCATCCTGTGGGGATAAGGGTCAGCATCTCTGTGAGGACAGAGAGTCAGTCCTCACCTGCACAGATGATGCTGGCATCCTCCAGGTGCCCACAGTTGAGCCCGACCCGGCCACTGTGCATGCACTGCCCCAGGTGGCTCTCGCTGCCCACACACTGCACGTCGTCCAGTAGGATCTGCCCAGAGCCCGCCCCAAAGTAGGCGCCTGTGGGGGCTGCCACAGCCTGGCCACACTGCAGCTGGTGGCACACAACGGTGGCCTCAGCCAGGTCCCAGAGGTTGTCACATACGGTCCCCCACATGCCCTGGATGAGGACCTCCATGTGGCCTGAGCACCTCCCTGTGCCGTTCACCAGCCTCACCTCCATCCAGGCCCCTGGGGAGGCACAAGGAGGAGAGACACTGGGGAGTGGCCTCTGGTGTTGGGGCATCCTGTTACATAGGGTTTGTTAATCACACACAGCACCTGTCACCCACACACCAGGGGAACCACTCATTGCCATCTTTGATTTCCATTGACAACAGGACTTTCCTATACTGTCTCTTACTAAAAGGTAGGTCTACCATGAATTCTCCATATAAGATGGTTTATG